CATAGAATATATAATTTTTTCTTTTCATTAATGACTGAATATATTCAATAACAGCCATTAAAGCCGAATCACCATCTTCCCATTTTAATCCATGATGATTATGATATAACCAGTTATTAGTTGTTTTATCCCGTATCATCAACTTAGATTATTCAAAAGGAGGTTGAATAAGAAACGTTTTTATATATGATATATATGTTATATATATGTTGATATGTTGACTTCTTTAGCAATAAATTTCATATTAAAATAGAATCCCTGAACATCTATAACCAACGTATATTCCTCTAACATTATATAGATTGAGCTTTTTTTTAAATTCGCCTAAAAAATAGTCTTATGAATTTCTATAAAAGTTTATATTATTTTTTTAGAGTCTAATCAAATTCTATTTAAATAATTGTGAACATAAGTATGTATTACAACCACCAATTTTATTAACTAATCGATCACACTCCGCTGAGTAATGAAAACCGAATATCAAATTAAGCTTTTTATATACTACATTTGTATTCTTTTTATATGTAATATGAATACGGCAAATCCATATGATAAAATTACAAGTTAAGAAATTTCCATATCCATATCATGTTTGTAACTTTTAATATCAATTTATGTGACATCTGAGCGTAGTGTGATATCATCTCCAGTAACAATTTCAATTTCACCGTTACTTAAAATTTTCTCGAATGCAACCTGGCGAAACACAAAACAAGAAATATTCAGTTTACGTTGAAGGAAATCACTATCATATGTACAGCGAATTCGTAGCATAATATTATCTTCATATTGAAGCTGAAAATGTCTATAAACGGGTTGTGAGCTCTCAATTATTCCCGAAATATTTTTCTCTTTTTGTATTAGATCTTACCTAAACGCTTCTATGGCTTCCTGTGTTGTGAAAAACTTTTTCAGATTAGATGTAGGTGCTTCTGATGTCGTTTCAGGAATAGATGTTTTGTTACACTGAACCAAAAATCCATCTCTGGATCAAAGAAAAACTTTGCTTACTTTAAGGTCGAAAATTCTTCCTCATTATATATATTTTTTTGATTTTAATTGTTTATTAATAAATTTGGTTTTTCCCGTACCACACGGGGTATTAATTTAAAATATTGATGTCCATAATATACTATAAGATATTTTTTT